CTTGTGGCTAATAGCCACTGATGGACCTCTGCTCCATATGCTTATCTAATTCCCTTTTGAAGCCGTCCATGCTTGTAGCTGCCACCACTTCCTGTGGCAGTGAATTCCATGTGTTAATCACTCTTTGGGTGAAGAAGTACTTCCTTTTATCCGTTCTAACCCGACCGCTCAGCAATTTCATGGAGTGCCCATGAGTTCTTGTATTGTGAGAAAGGGAGAAAAGTACTTCTTCCTCGACCTGCTCTATCCCATGCATAATCTTATAAACCTCGATCATGTCGCCCCTCAGCCGTCGTTTCTCCAAGCTAAAGAGCCCCAAGCGCCGCTCAGCAATTTCATGGAGTGCCCATGAGTTCTTCTATTGTGAGAAAGGGAGAAAAGTACCTCTTTCTCTACCTGCTCTATCCCATGCATAATCTTATAAACCTCGATCATGTCGCCCCTCAGCCGTCGTTTCTCCAAGCTAAAGAGCCCCAAGCGCTTTAACCTTTCTTCATAGGGAGAGTCAGAGATGAAAGAGGACTCTTCTGACTCAGTCACACTTTATGGTGCAATGTCTGACTTCACTGCACGGAGGACTACGAAAAGGAGGTAATCACACTGGAACTGAGAAAGCACATGAATTTTTCAGACTCCAGTAGCACTTTAAAGACTAACAAAATGTGTTGCAGCGTAATCTCTGGGGTGTCGGAGCTCGCTTCAGCAGATGCATACAGCCCATGCCAAACAGCTAAATTTATACATGGAGTAAGAGCAACAGAGAGGGTGTGTGTGTGGGGGGAGGAGATGCTACAAGGAGAGGCCAATTCTTGTTCCACACGGCCTTGTCCTTAAAGCTTCTCTTCCCACACCCCCATTCTGGTGCATAAAATTCATGTATGGTTTTATATGCTTGCAACGGATATTCTACGCATCCGGCAACGTGCGCTCTGACTCATGAAAGGTTGCACTGTCATATATGCTGTCAGTCTTTCGAAGTGCTAATGGACTCCTGTCTAGTTTTGCTACCACGTGCTAGCACAGCTGCCTCTCTGGGATGCAGATTTATGAAGAGGACCCGTCAAGCGCCAGTTTAACAACATTTTCCGCCTCCCCAAAGAAAGCATCAAGGAGAGGGTCCCGTTGCTCAGCACATGCTTCAGATCCCTGGCATTGGTGCAGAGGGCGTAGGGCCGGGAAAGACATCTAACCCAAGCCCTTCGAGAGCTACCATGAATTACTAAACACATGGCCTGATCAACCGGGTTGGATTCAGTGTAAAATGCCTACTTCTACTAGAACTCTTGCCTAGGCAAAAATATAAGAAAGGTTGTAGCTGCTTGGGCTAAGTCAAGCTTAGCATATCCCCATTTACTTGCAAAAGATTTTGTGCAAACTGTTTCTAGGCAGTGTAATATACAGGACGGGAAACACTAGGTGTTACACGCTGCACAAGAGGAACTGTGCGAAGCCCATTTGTGTTTCTGCTGGCATGCCGCTGGATCCAAGCCCAGTAGCCTTTTACAGCCATCTCCCGTGCCACGTTACGGACTGTTTTTAAAGCTCTCCTCAGTTTCAAAAGCAGTGGGCTATGTGGCATGGAGGTGCTCGCCCTCGCACCTTGAGGAACTAGCTTAATGGGTCCGTTCACCTGGCCATCTTATAACTCCGCTCGATCGGTGAGCCAAGCAATGTTGCAGAGCCATTCTGAATGCAAATGTAGTAACGGGATGGCTGCACAGCCGTCCTGTCAATTCTCAGCTCTACTTGTACCGAGCCTGGGTCCCAAGCAGTGTTCCCTCTATGCTGAGTTAGTGCGAGCTAAGTCAAAAATGTGAGCCAGAGGCTAAAAAACTGTGAGCTAGCTCACACTAAGTCAGCTTAGAGGGAACACTGCTTGAGGACAGAAAGGCGGGGTACATAAATTTTGCAAAATAAACCAGATGGGATCAGCTTAAGACAAACAGAGTGATTATGAAATAGGCTTTCATGGGTTTAGATTCACATAAGCCAAGGACATAACGAGGCTGCGGTATAATTTTGGGCTATGTGTAAAGAGGAAGACTGGTTCCTCTCTTGGTCCGTACAAAGTCCACCCATTAGCTCACAAAAATGCCTCTCTGTAAAGTAGAAAGGCCAGCCCTCGTGTCTCCTGAAATGCTGATACCCCCTCCATACTGGAAGGGGACTTGGCAGGCGGCGTAAGAGAACACTGTGGTGACCACTCTTCGGTGGCCACTGTAAAGCATACTAAAGCTACTCAATGAAGACAGAGGAATGAACGGATCCTATCTTCCTCATCCCAAATGCTGGGAGCAGACACAGCCTCCACAAATGTACTGTGTAGTTATTCTAAGGGGACCACAGTATTCACCTAGAAACAAACAGCATTCCTATGTCAACCGCACCACCCTTCCATAGAAACACATTTGTTAATGGACAATGTTTTGAACTGTAAACTGCTTCGGCAACCGTGCTTTGAATGGTAAGTCGCTTGGGGCAGGGCAGAGCTGTAAACCGCTTTGACAGCAAGTCTTTTGAATTGCAAACTGCTTCGATGGCAATGTTTTCAACCGTAAGCTGCTTTGGGGACGGAGCTGGAAAAAAGGGGTTACCAGATACAAGACTCAAAGTTTATGCCTGCCAGCCGGCAACCCACCCCATAAACTTGGCCCGGTGGAACCAGATTACCTGAAGCCAGGAAATGGAACGTCTGCTTGGCGGAAGCACTGAACGTGCGCCCTGAGCCTGAAGCAAGTCCCTCTTTCTCTTCTCTAATGGCTCTGGAGGTACACTGTCTAGCTGCAGATAGCCTGCTCGAGCTCTCCATCTGCTAAGAGAGGCTGGCTTTTCCGACCCCTGATTTCTCCAATGTTAGCAAAAACTGTGACTCCGTTCTCTACCAAAGAAAACATTCAGATTCATTTTCTGCTGCTGTCTGTTAACGTCTAAAATCATCACTACAATCACCACCAAAAACATCACAGGACTACGATGGCTACGTCTACCATGGAGCTTGCTAGAGGCAGTGCTAGGTCTACGACGACTCACGGGGCACAAAAATACCGACACCCTTCCCCCTCCAAATATCACATATGTTGGTACAGTCACCGAGCTTTACAAGCGCTATACGTGAATAACAGAGCGCCATTTGGTTAAGAATGCTTTGTATTTTTTTAAAAGTTTGATCCGGTTGCATTAGTAAGATACACGGCTGTTGCTTCGCAATGAATGCATTTTACTTGTGCCAGCTTTTATAGACTACCTTATGTAATAAGCTATTTATTCCTGTTCTTTCCTGCCCCTCTAAACCATGGTAACCAAAAAAGTCTTTCAATGCTGAAATCGCAAGCAAAAACATGGAAGCTGCATAAGGAGACGGGCCCATATGTGATATTGTTACCATGGAAACACTTACCCACACGCTAGCAGACAAAAGTACACACTGTCAGATAAAGAAGCAGAAGAAGAAGAAGGGGGGGAGGAAGATTAAGATAATTATTTTTCTCCGTATTTGATTCTACCTGTAAAGAAAGCCCCGGCTAAGAGGTCCTTGAAGGACACTTCAGGCAATGCCAAAAAAAAAAAAAAGGCTACCTAAATTAGAGAAACACAATTTCTATACACAGGGCTGTTTCCAAGGTCTATTCACTCCTGCAACTACGGATCTTCTGATGCTTTAGGCATTTGCGCCACAATGCTGGTGGCTGATTCTGTAACATGATATTGACGTGGTTCAGACGCAATGGTAAACCATGGTTCACCTCTACATGAAATGAGCCTGGGGGTCCTCAGATTAACGTGCTCCCTTCCCTCCACTTGCGCACGGACGTCTAGTCAGAGGTGTCCAGTGCAGAAGACTGCAGTTTGCTGTTACATCTGGACCAGTAAACGAAGGGGGGTTGGGTTCCACGGTTCCATTCTACTAGTGGAGGCGCTTTCCCCCAACAAAAGCAGCCTTCCCCTCCTGAAAGGCACAGGGGGGGAAGGCTCCTGGCGCTGGTGGAAAGCGCCTCCGCTAACAGGATGAATATGTGTGATCCAATCCTCCATGGTTTATACTTTCCCTGCAAACCAGGATTCCAAAACTGAGAATAAACTGTGGTTTGGAATCTGGGTTTGTAGTGGGAGTGCAAACTGTATCTCGCTGGTTCAGCTATAAAAGGCAAACTGCGATTTGCTGTGAACTTCTAAAAAAGTTCATTGACAAGCTCTGCATGAGGGAGGAGGAGGAGGGAGCATGCAAACCCAAAGATCTCCTGGGCTAGTTCACATAGCAGTTGCTCTCAACCAAGCCAACACCTCCACACTGCTAGGTAACAAAGGCTTTCCATCATGGCAGAACCAGGCAATCTAAATGCCTGAAGGCATAAACTTGCTCTGGTCAATCTTGGGGCGCCTAAAGGGAAGCACACCCAGCAAGGCAAAGAGAGAGACGCTCAGCGGCCTTACCTTTGCTAAACTGGCTGTGAATAGCACACATTCGTAGAGCTCTCCCATCCTCTGGAGGAACTCATCCACGTGGGGTCGCTTTAATACATAAACCTGGAAGAAGGGGAGGATGGAGAAGAGAAACAGGTGAGTCTGAGGGAAAGCTAAGTGATCGGCACTGAGGAATCATCGTGATTCAAGACTGCGTTAATAACCAGGACAGACAAGATGCTTAGAAGCTGGGTCCCAGGAGATGCTCTGTACTTAAGAATCCCTGAAAGGTTACCTTGGATATAGTAAGCCTAGAATTTCCTGCAAGGTGGAAAGAAGGAACACGATGACAGTAACAGGGATCACAAATCAGATCGAATACAGGTGCTGCGTTCTGCTTTTAAACAAGGGTCGACTCCTTTTTTTTTTTTAAGGAAGGTTTTTTTATTTTATCACAAACGAACATACAAAAAACACACATACAAGTTGGTGACTTCAGAGTCTATATAGTCTGTTCAATTACTTCTTACAGTATCACTTCAGAGTTTATATTCAATTACTTCTTACAGTATGTAAGTGTTAAAACGCATACCATAAAGCAAAATAAAATAAAAATCTTTTATCCACAGAGTCTGCAGATAACTGAGTATCTATAATGTCTCTAATAAATGTTAAAGAGTTATATAGTTCCTTTATTGAAATCTTCCAACCAGGTATAAAATCTTCACCATGTATTGTGAAATTTTTCTTCTTGAACGAGGATCAACTCCTCATTGAATGTCACTGCCTTATACACGGAAGCTAAGAGAATTCGTGAAAGCTGTGATCGGCGAACGCTTCTCGGTAACGAATGCTTTCTCGAAAACTGCCATTCTTAATGGATGCCTTTTCCCAGCTACAGCAAAGGGCTGCAGATTATTTCGGCGAGCAGATCAACTAACATACAGAACTAAACTCCTAACGAGGCTCGTTTGCAAGAAAGCCTGTCAACTGTTCGAGAGAGCCCCTAAATTAATTTTCTGTGGGAAGCCGTTGCTAGGCCCGTGCAGCAGAATGCCAGAACGGAATACTTTGCAGAGATCACACACAACCTCCCCTGCCCTGCCACTCTGCTTAGAGATGTAAAATTTCTGGAAATTTTTAAGCTCAGAAAAAAACCCATTTTTTTTCCGGGAAAAACCGGAAATTTTCGGAAAAATTGAAAAAAAATGCTACATAAAATTGACAAAAATGCTACATTAGCACTTCTTTTTTCTTTTCATTGGATGCCCTCGAGCTCTCATCTTTTGGGAGAGGGATGCTAGGTCTGCCTCCCTTCCAGCCATACCTTCTTCTGATACAGTAGTGGTGAGATGCTGGACAAGTGATGGCCCTGCAGAACCTCAGGATGGCCCAGGTTAAAGGTCTGATCTAGAGATGTAAAATTTCCGGAAATTTTGAAGCTCGGAAAAAACCCCGTTTCCCCCCCAGTTTTTTTCGGGGGAAAAACGGAAATTTTCGGACAAATTGAAAAAAATGCTACATTAGCACTTCTTTTGTCTTTTCTAGATTGAAAGTCATTCTGTTACTTTAGGAACATAAAATATGACTATGGACATTTTTTACAACTAGCATATTAAAAATAAATTGTATCCAAACAATTATTACAAACAGAATAGCCAACCACATGCAGAAACAAAACTGAAACCTTTTTCTTTTCTTGTGACAACAGCACCTCCTAAAGGAAGAAATGCATCTTGTTGTTGCATTGGAGAGTTCAGTTTGTAACCTAGGACTTGCTTGTCCTCAGTGCACAGAAATTAGATCAATCTGATACCATACATATTTTTTAGAAATGATTTGGAAAATATTTGAACACCTTGTCTTAAAATATTTTATTCATTGTTAAAATAAAACGTTCCATAATCAGTTTCTTTTCTTTTTTCAATTTTTCAGGGAAAAAACAAAAAAAAGGCTTCAGGAAAAAAATGGAAAAAACCCAGTTTCCCCCTGAATTTTTCCACTTTTTTTCCGGGCCTTCACATCTCTAGTTCCATGCAGCAGAGTGCCAGACTGGAATACTTTGCAGAGATCACACAAAACCTCCCCGTATTCAACAGTGGGTGCTCCCTCCCTCCCTGCCCCTGTCACTCTGCTTTACCACTTCAGTAATCCACCCCCCCATCTTTAGTTAGCAGATTTTGTGTGTTTACCAGGCGGTTTTCTTTGCCACCCATCCCTCCCTGCTGCAAAGACTTCCCTGCCAGGAATGGAAGGTGTATTTGCCATGTGGATTGGCATTCCTATGGTAAACTTTGCATCACCAAGGCATACTGTCTAGCAAAACCCACTCCCTCCCCATCTACCAGAGGGAGCCCCACCGGCATGCACCGGGAGCGGGAAAATTCTTCCGTGGTGGGTCTCTAGGGAAACTTCCTGGATAATGATCACCGTGCGTGCCACAGGTATGAATGTATCCATCATTTCTGGAATATGTTTTCAGATCAGACAGTGAGGAGGTTTAAGACTGAAGAGATCTCACTTCATCTAACCTAAATCCTTGAAAATGACATCCTGCCCTTGAGCATCTTCCTGGCTTAAGAACTGCAGGATGCTGACCAATGTTCCCTCTAAGCCAGAGGTGTCAAACCCTAACCCTAACCCTAACTATTTTTGTTATGAGGGCTGGATCTGTACATAAATGTCACTTTGTCCAGCCAGACATGTGTGCCATAAAAGGGAATGCCAGGTACCAGAGATAGAAACTGTACAAAGGACAGCAGCTGGTAAGCTCCGAGTCGGTGTATCCTCACTGCAAGGCCCCATGGGCACTGGGTGTGAGTGTGTGTGTGTGTGCAGAGGAAAACCCACATGGGTGGACTGGAGAGGCAGCAGTGCAGCACTGGGAACATGCTCCCACAATACTTGACTGCTGCAGACGAGGTTGCTCTGCTGTGCTGAAGCCACAATGGAGTGGCTCCCCCCACTCTCCCCCCAGCACTCCCTCCCTTGCATCAGTTGCTTGCGGGCCGCATAAGAGCCCTGGAGGGGCTTGATCCGGCCCCCGGGCCTTATGTTTGACACCCCTGCTCTAAGCTGTGTGCGTGAGCGGCCGCTCATTAACAAAGGAAGCCCCGCTCAGCAGCAGTCTGGAGCCGCGCAGGCTCTTGCAATGCCCACGGCCCATTTTAAGATTACAGCAGTGATATTCTACTCAGCATGTGAACTGCTCCACTCAGTAGCCGTGGAAAAATTAGAGGAAACATAGGGACACTTCATATCAAGTTTTGCCCTTATCGATGCTGGTGTGGAAAAAAAATACACATTTGTCTTCACTTGCACGATGACTCCGATCAAGTAACGTTTCAGATGGTGTTACAACTGCAAAAACAAATTCGGTGTATCACAATGCATACAACTAGAGCGACATTTATTCTTGTGCTTAATCTCTGTCCCAAAATGTTAACATCCTCTGGGGAAAAAAATTAAAGAGCAGGAAAATGCAGCCTTCGCATTTGTTACCCCGATTCCTCTAGTTGCGAGCCCTCTTGCCAGGAGGAGGAGAAAACGTAATCGACTTTCGAGGCTTCTGGAGTCCGATCCACTGTGTTGTGGCTACCTCCCAGGGCAAGTAATTAAGGATAGGCCATTAAGAATGCACACAGCCTATCCTGGATTACTTGAACTGGGTCACAGCCTCTTCCAGAAGTGCTGTTCGAGTTAGGGGGCCTTCAAAAGAATATATGCAAAATGCCATCACAGAGTCATGCATGCGACTTTTAAAATAAGACGTTGTTTCTCTTGGATTGCCCCCCCCTTTCTTAAAATGAACGGCTGCATGTGTATGATTGTGTTTAAATAAACAGCTCTCAATACTCACAGCCACACGGTTACATAATACACACGAGGCTGTCGGCAGAAAGCACGGTGCTTCCCTCCCCCAAGTCGTCCTGGGCACAAAATAATTGCATATTCCAGAAATTATAACCTATTCATGGAATAATTGGGTGGTGCCATTGTCAATGGGTTACTCTGTATTATGTTCGTGCATACGCAGGGGATGTAGCATCCCATCTTGAGTGGGCTTGCTGAGCAGCTGGGAAAAGAAAATTAAATTTTTGAACAGGCAGTGCTTGGGCACTTAGCCTGCTCTATGGCTCTAGTCTGGGAGAACCGGGTTTGATTCTCCACTCCTCCACTTGTACCTGCTGGATGACCTTGGGCAAGCCATAGTTCTGTCAGAGCTGTCCTTGAAAAAGAGCAGTTTCTGTCAGAGCTCTCTCAGCCCCACCAACCTCACCGGGTGTCTGTTGTGGGGAGGGGAAGGAGTTTGTAAGCTGCTCTGAGACTCCCTTAGGTAGTGAAGGGCGGGGTATAAATCTAATCTCTTCTTCTTCTCCTCCTCTCTGCATGGCAGTTTAAGAAAACTGAGACTGTCTCCGACAGAGGGCAAGATGGAATCGTTGCCAGCCATCACTGCCGGGCCCGTAGCTACAGCGGGGCTTTGGGGGCTCCACTGCCTTTCTTAAAGGCACAGCTCCACAAGCATTTCTCCAGTAGATGCTTTTTTTAATCATATAAAAACATTTTCTAAAGGCATGCGCTCCTTTAAGCAGTGGGATGCTGTAGCTGACTAATTCCCATCCTGAGCCAGGGGGTTGGAGTAGGTGACCTTTAGGATTCCTTCTAACTCTGTGTCAAGAAACTGGTCTCCTTAAAGAGAGTTTTTCTGCCTAAGTGTGAGCTTTCTGGACTATAGAAGTCATCACTCCCATATGCCAGTTTGGTGTAGTGGTTAAGTTTGCGGACTCTAATCTGGGAGAACCGGGTTTGATTCCCCACTCCTCCACCTGCAGCTGCTTGGTGACCCTGGGCAAGCCATAGTTCTGTCACTTACAGCTGTTCTCTCAAGGACAGTTCTCGCAGAGCTCTCTCAGCCCCACCTACCTCCCAGGGTGTCTGTTGTGGGGAGGGGAAGGGAAAGGAGTTTGTAAGCCACTCTGAGACTCCTTCCGGTAGTGAAGGCCGGGGTATAGATCAAATCTCCTCCTCCTCCTCCTCCTCTTCCTCCGAATGGTTACTTAGGCTGGCAGAAGTGATTAACTTGCAGCAGCTGAAAACTGTCATCAAAAGTGGTTGACAGCTTGCAGTTTAGAGATCTATCCTGGTCACAGCTTCCTATTGGCTAAGTGGCTTTTCTTTCTGCATCTGTCGTGATGGATCACGCGCGCCACACCAAAAAAAAAAAAATTCCCCCAAAAGCCACAAAATCCTGGCTACGGGCCTGATCACAATTACTTTAATTGTAATATGGATTGTTTTATCTTGTTTTTATAAATAAA